CACAAAGCACATGTTTGACCGGTTGGGCAAACTCCCACGCACCCTCCAGGACCCTGCTGAGAGTGTAGAGCTGGTCCAGTGTTCCACGACCAGGACGAAAACCGCACTGCTCCTCCTGAATCCGAGGTTCGACTATCCGACGGACCCTCCTCTCCAGAACCCCCGAATAGACCTTACCAGGGAGGCTTAAGAGCATGATCCCCCTGTATTTGGAAAACACTCTAAGGTCCCCCTTTTTGAATAGGGGGACCACCACCCCGGTCTGCCAATCCAGGGGAACTTCCCCCGATGTCCATGCAATATTGCAGAGTCGCTTAAGCCAATACAACCCTACAACATCCAGAGCCTTAAGGAACTCCGGGTGAATCTCATCCACCCCTGGGGCTCTGCCACCGAGGAGCTTTTTAACCACCTCGGTGACCTCAGCACCAGAAATTGGAGGGCCCGACCCAGAGTCCCCAGGCTCCGCTTCCTCAGTGAAAGACGTGCCAGTGGGATTGAGGAGGTCTTCAAAGTATTCCGCCCCCTGACCCACGACATCCTGAGTTGAGGTTAGCAGCACACCACCCCCACTATAAACAGTGTTGGTGGTGTACCACTTTCCTCCCCCGAGATGCCGGATGGTGGACCAGAATCGCCTTGAAGCCGTGCAGAAGTCAATCTCCATGGCCTCTCCAAACTCCTCCCATGCCCGAGTTTTTGCCTCAGCGACCAACCGAGTCGCATGTCGCTTGGACTGCCGGTACCCATCAGCTGCTTCCGGGGTCCCACAGGCCAAAAAGGCCCGACAGGACTCCTTCTTCAGCCTGACAGCATCCCTCACTGCCAGTGTCCACCACTGGGTTCCAGGGTTGCCACCGTGACATGTTGGCAACCTTGTGGCCGCAGCTCCGGTAAGCCACCTCGACAATAGAGGCATGGAACATGGCCCACTCGGACTCAATGTCCCCTACCTCCCACGGAATATGTTCCAAGTGCTCCCGGAGGTGACAGTTAAAGCTCTGTCTCACAGGAGACTCTGCCAGACGTTCCCAGCAAACCCTCACAATACGTCTGGGCCTGCCAGGTCTGACCGGCATCCTCCCCCACCATCGGAGCCAACTCACCACCAGGTAGTGATCAGTGGACAGCTCTGCCCCTCTCTTCACCCGAGTGTCCAAGACATTGGCCGCAGATCAGATGAGACAACGACAAAGTCGATTATCGAACTGTGGCCTAGAGTGTTCTGGTGCCAAGAGCACATATGGACACCCTTATGCTTGAACATGGTGTTTGTTATTGACAATCCATGATGAGCACAGAAGTCCAACAACAGAACACCACTCGGGTTAAGATCAGGGGGGCCGTTCCTCCCAACCACACCCCTTCAGGTCTCACTGTCATTGCCTACGTGATCATTGAAGTCCCCCAGCAGAACAAGGGAGTCCCCAGGAGGTGCACTTTCCAGTATCCCCTCCAAGGACTCCAAAAAGGGCGGATAATGTGAGCTGCTGTTTGGTGCATAAGCCCAAACGACAGTCAGAACCTGTCCCCCCACACGTAGGTGGAGGGAGGCTACCCTCTCATTCACCACGGTGAATCCCAACACACAGGCACTTAGGATGGGGGGCAACAAGTATGCCCACTCCTGCTCGGCGCCTCTCACCAGGGGCAACTCCAGAGTGGAAGAGTGTCCAACCCCTCTCAAGGAAACTGGTTCCAGAGTCATAGCCATGCATAGAGGTGAGTCTGACTATTTCTCGCAGGAACCTCTCAACCTCACACACAAGCTCACGCTCCATCCCCACCAGTGAGGTGACATTCCTCACCAGCCGGTCAAAGCAGATGGCTGCTTGTCCTGAACCTGGTTCTTCTGGAGGTTTCTTCCTTTTAAAAGGGAGTTTTTTCTTTCCACTGTTGCCACTGTGCTTGCTCAAGATGGGAGACTGCAACAAAGCCAAGATTCAACTTGTCTGCTGGATTCCTTAGATAGAGAAATTTACTAATTGGCTTTTATGTATGTGAATGTTCCTGTAAAGTGCCCTGAGACAACTTTGTTGTGATTTGGCGCTATATAAATAAACTGAATTCAATTGAATTCCATGTCCCAAGAGTCAGCTTCTGTAGCCGAGGATCAGACCGCCAGGGTCCCTGACCTCAGCCACCACCCATCTTACATTGCACCCGACCCCTTTGGCCCCTCCCACAGGTGGTGTGCCCATGGGAAGGGGGACCCACGTCTCCTCTTCAGGCTGTGCCCGGCTGAGCTCCATGGGCAAAAGCCTGGCCACCAGGCACCTGCCCGCATGCCCTACCTCCATGCCTGGCTCCAGAGTGGGGCCCCGGTGACCCACGTCTGGGCGAGGGAACATTGAGTCCATTTATTTTGCTCATCATTGGGGTGTTTGGGCTGCACTTTGTCTGGTCCCTCCTCTAGGACCTACGTGTCTTGGGTGACCCTACTAGGGGTGTGAACCCCCTGACAGCATATCTCCTAGGATCATTGGGACACTCAAACCCCTCCACCACGGTAAGGTGGCAGCCCAGGGAGGGCTCTGCAGAGACCATCGAGTGGTAAAACATCTGCAGCATGGTCCTACAGAGACCATCGAGTGGTAAAACACAGGCAGCATGGCTCTGCAGAGACCACAGAATGGTAAAACATCTGTAGCATGTCCCTGCAGAGACCACAGAGTGGTAAAACATCTGCAGCATGGTCCTGCAAAGACCATCGAGTGGAAAAACATCTGCAGCATGGCCCTGCAGATACTACTGAGTTGTAAAACATCTGCAGCATGGTCCTACAGATGTTAAAGGACCTGTGTCTCCTCAGAAGAAAAATACGACTCTGCCCTTTCTTGTAGAGGGCGTTGGTGTCAGCTGTCCAGTCCAGTTTATTGTCTAAGTGGACCTCCAGGTACTTGTAGCAGTTCACAGTGTCCACTTTAGTACCTTTGATGTTGAAAGGTTTGGGGGGGGGGGGGGTCTTCTGTTGAGTTGCGGGCGGTTCTGTCCACCACACCTCTGTATTCAGCTTCCTGATCACCAGTGATGCAGCCCACAATGAGTAGATATGTGTGAGTGTGAAGGGTTGTTTCTCTGTGGTGGACTGGCGACATGTCCAGGTTGTACACAGACTTACGCTCAATGACTGCTGGAAAAAAGCACCAGCTCCCTGTGACCCTGCAACGAAAAGTGGACAAAGAAACAACTGGATGGTTTACTGAAGCTACATGGGATGTTCAAGGTTCTGGCATGTTTGTATAGAACCCAGCCCTGATCTGTATTTCTCCACAGTTATGTTTCTGACCTGTAGGGGCAGTTCCTGGGTCTTCATGATGCCTCTTGCTTGATAGTGCACCAGAGGTGTTGAACAGGTGGATTTATGACGAGATTGTCTAAAACTTAAATTACTACAGGCGGCTCTTATTAAACTAATCATGTGGGTTCTGAAGGTAATGACCGGAGCTTCAAAGCAAAGGGCTGAATACACACTGTATGCATGAATCATTTTTCACGTTTACATAATTGTTTTCTATTTCTGTTTATTGATTAAAACAACTTCCCTGGCTTACCCAAAAAAGTTCAATCTGGTCCTCTGGACATTCAAAAAAACAAAAAACAAAACAAAGCAAAAAAATATAGAAACGTTTCGTCTCTCATTCGAGAGACTTCCTCAGTCTGAGGTGCTGTATTCAGCTCAGTCTCTTAAATAGTCCATATGGGGGCGGGAAGCAGTGTATAATAAAATATATAAAAAGAACAAACAAACAAATAAATAAAATGTTCAGGCTGTAAGTCAACAAAATAGAAAGAATATCAAGGGGATTTAATATATTTGCAACCCTCTGGAACCTTTTTAGAAGCTGCAAAGCAGAAACTGCTGATTTTACCTTCAACTGAGAGGCAGGGGAATAGTTTAGAGGTTTTGGTTTGATGAAGCTTCATGGATTTGAACAAAGACTTTTATTAATGTAGGTTTTACCGATGAAGAGCTTTAAAAAGTATCCTCATCAGGTCAGACAGAAACAGTGATCTGCATAAAGCTCTCTTATGACTGTTCTTTACATGGTCTTCTGTTTCATCTTTCATTTAACCAGCTCTTATTGAAGACAAACACATTTCTCTACTGGGCTGTATCTGGACTGTGTTCAACGTTCACTTCATTAAAGACAGTTCCAACACAGAGTTCAACACAAAGTCACTTTATTGGTTCAGAGGCAGGTGGATAAAACTGACTGTGGGGACTCTTTTTCATCAGGTTTGAAAGTAGATGTCGGGAGTTGCTGAAGAGAGGAAGCAACAGAAGGTAAAAGGTTCCCAAATTACATTGCCCAGGTTTATGATGAACCAGTGATCCAAGAGAGGCAGCGCCAGCCAAGCCAAACATCAAAAGGTAAACGTTTAATTCAAAATTATTGAGAGAGAGAGAGAGAGAGAGAGAGAGAGAGAGAGAGAGAGAGACAGACAGAGACAGAGAGAGAGAGAGAGAGAGAGAGAGAGAGAATTAAAAAAAACACCACTTAACTAGTGCTAGCAATCTGAAAGGTTTGCAACGTTCCCCCAGTTTATCTGGGAAAAGTCACATGTTGGACTTTAAACTCCCTCCACATGAACCAGATGTTGATTACTGGAGCTCAGGGGAAGTGGTTCAGCTCAGGCTGTTGCTCCAGATGAGGCACAGATCTGTTGGTTTCTCCACTGTGAGGTTGAACACATTCTCGTGTTCTTCAGACTGAATCATGAATCACAATGATAAACTCCTGTTGAACCTTTTCAGCCAGTCTTTCTTTTACTCATCACCGCTAACACTGCTCCGTATGGACAAGATGTTTGGACAGGAAAAACTTGCCGCGCTCTGATTTTTCCCTTCTTTTAATATAAACTCCAGGACGCTTACAGTGAAGAAATGGAACAAAATAAACAAGAAATCTTGTTTAAGACGTTAGTACACTTTGATTATTCAAAGGACGGTTTGATGGTGAGTTCTGTATGAGCACGTTTAGTACTGGGAAGGTCCGATCACGTCATTGCTGGCGCTGAAAACACGCTCCTACCTCTCACAGACATCTAGACTCCTTGACTACAAGTGACTGAATCAGCTTCTGAAGTTTGTCCAGGCTTTTCTCATCCACACAGATATCCTTTAAAAGAATGTGTCTCCTAAAACACTAAAACTTCTGACTCGGCCAGTTCTTGACTCTGTTGTGTCTTTATGGACCGTTTGGTTCAGCAGAGGTGTGCCATTAATAACTCGTCCATTAATCTCCTTGCCCTTGTCTCTGTAGGTTAGTTGCAGCTGATCGTCAGTGTTCATGCAGTAAAGGTTCATCACCACTTGGCCTCTGTAGACTTTTCCTACCCAACCTTTGTGAACTCAGAGTCCTCATTTCTGCAGATGAGAGGGGAGGTTCCCCTAGGGGACTGGACCTTTCCGATTTCCTCAAGGGCGCTGGCCAGGGAGTCCAGGTCCCCAGAGTCCTGGTGCTGGGCTTCCCACAAACTCAGAATCACAGAGGATGGGCTCTCCTGACATGCAAAGTAGCACAAGTTCCTAGAGGCCAGGAAAACAAAATATGTTAGCAAAAAAGTCAGGCTGCATGAGAATGATTAACAAAAGAGAGGACATGAGGTGAGATGGATGAACTCATCATTATTACAAACAAAACCCAACAAAGTTAGATCAGGTCCTCTGGACTGTTTCTTTTTGTTGAAATGTTTTGTCTTTCATCCAAAAGACTTCATCAGTCTGAGGAGCCACAACAAACTCAGTCTTATAAATAGCACCCTCACATAGTGGAGACTATAAGACTGAGGTTGTTGTGGCTCCTCAGACCAACGAAGTCTTTTGGATGAAAGACACAACGTTTCATCAAAAATAATCCATCCAGAGGACCTGATTTAACTTTGTTGGATTTTCTACCTGGATTATTAAGTGTAACTCAGGATCCAAAGCAAATTATTTTTCAAGAGGTAATCATATGAATTCTTATTTACACCTTTAACATTTTGAAAAGAGAAAAGAAAGCCTGATATCCAGATGTTCAGTCTCTGAAGTGCAGGGCAGAGACACGGCGATGCTCGTTGTGTGAATGTTCATGAAGCATTCACTCTACTGTGATCCTTTTTTCCTTCAGTACGTTTTTCAGCATCTTTCTCATTCCACAATTTTTGTGCTATTTCAACAAAGCATAAATCAAAACGTTTAGCTCTTTCTGGAGAAGGGTGCTCTGACTTGGTATTGGTGCAACTTTAGCTTTTTGAAATATTTTGCCTTTTCTGCCACTTTTTTTTCTCATAGAAAATGACTTGAGCTCATTTTATATCCTTCACATCTTTAGATGTGTATACAACCTTTTACTGCTCCTTTCACATTTTGTTCTGCTTCAGCTTCTTTCAGCTTCCTTGTGCAATTTTTTTCAGCTACTTTCAGCTAATATTAGCTGTTTTTTCAGCTGTTTTGTGCTTCTTTCAGATTCTTTCTGCTAACTATAACATTTTTTCTACTTGTTTTTACTTCTTTCTGCAAATTTAAGCTTGTTATGCTTCTTTCATCTTATTTATGCAAGTTTCAGTTTTTTCCTGCTATTTCAGCTACTACAGTATTTAACTGTTTTAATGCCAATTTTTGCTTTTTCGGCTAATTCCACATCTTGTTACTCATTTCAACTTTTTCAGCCTAATTCAGCAAAAATGTGCTCTCACCACTTCCTTCTGGTCATTTAAATTTCTTTCTGCTTTTTTAGCTGCTTTTGTGAGTGCTAATTTCAGCTTTTTCAGATAATATCCATCCTTGGTGCTCATTTCTGCTTCTTTAAACCTAATTGGGCAAACATGTGTTCTCTCTGCTTTCTACTGCTAATTTAAACGTGTTCTACCTTTTCAACTACCTATTTAGCATTTTTTTTTTGGCAATTTCAGCTGTTTTCAAGGTCAAAGTCAAAGTTTCTTTATTTGTCATATGCACCACATGTGGTACAATGTGGTGGAACAAAATTGTGTACACAGGGTCCCAGTTACACTCAACAAAAGTATAAAATGTAAAAAGAAAAACAGTAATAAGATCAAAGATACATTTTCTGATAAATTAAATTTTTTGTGGTAATAGCTGCAACTTTCAGCTAATTTCTTTATGCTAATTTCAGCTTGTCATGTTTCTTTCAACTTATTCATGCTAGTTTAAGTTATTTCAGCTACTATTTAACTGTCATTATGATAATTTTAGCCTTTTCAGTGGATTTCACATTTCAGCCCTTTCTGCTTCCTTCTGTTAGTTTAAGCTTATTTCTGCCTTTCACTTACTTTTCAGCCTTTTTTTTTTGCTAATTTCAGCTTTTGTAAGCTACTTTCCTATTTTTTTTAAATTTCTGCTTATTCAAACCAATTTCAGCAAATATGTGTTGTTTCGGCTTTCTTCTGCTAATTTAGGATTGTTCTTCTATTCAGCTCAGCATGCCTTTTTCCTTTTAGCTAATTTCAGCTGTTTCTCAGCAAGTTCACTTTCACATTCATTTTTTGCAGGAAATGCAGTTTCTCTAGTTTGATTTAAATGGGATCAGAACTGAACTGACGATCTGGCTAAAGTACAGTCTGACTTGATAACACTAAAAAAACAAACAAACAACAACAACAACAACAACAACAACAACAACAACAACAACAATAATAATAATTATACAGGTTTGTTTTAATCCATAAAACTACATGTGAACTAGTATTACTAACAGTTTCTGTTGTTTCAAAATTAACAATTTTGGTTGTTTTTTTAAACCTTTGCAGCTGTAAAAACATCTGTCCAAGAGAGGGCACTATTTCCTTTCAATGACAATTTTCCTCTTTTTCTATTTCTTCCCCTCCACCTCCTCTGTATCATGATGTGCCCACACACTCTGAGAAATAATTACAGAAATCAGCTCAAGTAGGTGAGACACTCATTACATGCTTTTTGGTGTGCTTGAAAAACTTTTATATACACACATATATATATATATATATATATATAATCTTTTTTTTCAGTCACCGTTGTTTGTGCTCAGATCAACATTCTTTCATCTCATAGTTTCCTGCTTTTCCTCCTGGGTTTCTGCAGCAACCAAGACACAAAGCCTCGTTCTCCTCCGTGGTGCATGCGAGCTGCCTGCACAGCTCCTCGAGTTATCGTGTTTAGACGCACTTGATTATTGACTTCTCTTCTGAAGCACAAACAGATACACCCCATCTTGGAACAATTAAAATCCTCCCACGCCTTCACAAACACCTGGCACGAGCTCTGTAACGTTTAGCTGGGGTTGAAAGATGGAGCGCACATATAGATGCTGCTAATGAGAAAAGCCAACATAAACACATTTTCATCGCCTGAGGCTGAGCTGTCAGCAGTCAGAGACCTTCCCTCACATGTCTGCAACATGCCACATCTGCTCTGTAACATGTAGTATTCAGATTGTGCTACAGCTGGCTGTAGCAGCCCCGCCCAAACTGCCTTCAGTGTGCATGTGTTTTGGATCTATAATGAAATCAGGAGTGTGGAGTGTAACTGAAGGCTGCTTGGTGATGAAAGATATGAACCGACACACTGCCTAACTTCCAGATTGAAAGTGGCATTCAAAATGGGGAACACTGTTTAAATTTATGAGGGGACATGCATGCTGTAGTCTGGCGTTGCAGGCCTTGTTCTAATATTTACAGCAAAACGTGCCGGCTTGTTCACTCAGGGATGACTCAGCAGAATGGTACCTGGAGGGAGAGAGAGGATGAGATGTAGTAATAACTCAAACCTGTCTATGTGAAGCTTTTGGGCCAAGAGCTGCCAGTCCTTCCCTTTGGAGTTTGGGGAATCGAAGGTGGCGGTGATCCGCTGACGGATGGACGGGGGGATTTTAAAGGCCCTCGACCCCGTCTGAGAGGTGATGGTACAGTCAGACTGGGAGAAAAAAGGGACCACTCCCTTTTCATTCTGGTGGTGAGACAAAGAGAGAGACAGTGAGAGGGAGAGGCATCTGGATCATCTTAAATAAATAAGTAAAAAAAATACTTAGTTTTAAAACATAGCAATCCTCAAACTAATGCGTTTAGCCCACCAGTATTCATACCACAATTTTAAACTAAGATCATTTTCTTTTTAGAATCAACAGAGAAATAAAGCATTCATTCAACCTTTGTTTAGACAAGTTTAATCCCACTGAGCCTCGGGGACTCATTTACAAGAGAGACCTGAATTTATGGTAAAACACTGAAAATAACTTTGGTGATGAAAAGATAAAATGTAGTATGACAACTTGTCAAGCAATTTGTTAGTGCTTAGAGCAGTGGTTCTCAAAGTGGCATCCCCAGACCCCCAGGGGTCCACGAGCCTGTGCTTAGGGGTCCGCTAAAACAAACCAAGAGTTTTTCTTCTTTTTTTTTAACAAGCATGTACATGTTTAACAAGCCATTAAAATACACCAAAATGCAGGAAATCACATCTACTTTATTCAAAATGTTCTGGGGGAGAACCCCGCTCCCCAGCCTGCTCACTATTTGCATTTTGGCATCAAAGGGTTTACAAATGAAGTCTGTTACTTGGTCTGACTACTGCTGTTATAATTTTGTTTAGTTTTATGTAAAGAGTTTTCTGTAATAATTTGAAGAAGTGACAATACATTTATTATGTTTATTATGTGAATAGGTAAAGTTTTAGTGTTTTTTTTATACTGTTTATTTTCTCAAAACTGTAATTTTTGGAAGTTGTAATTAAATTTTTCGTTAATTGAGTGTGTCTTGAATAAAAAATACCCCGTGTTCAAAAGTATAAGAATTGTATTAACACTATTAAACAACAGGTTTTAAGTATTTATGTTACACAAATATTCCCATTGCATTAAAGAGACAAATTGAAGAAAATTATTTAATAAACATGAGGGTTATGAGGAGGTCCCTGAACCCAAAAAGTTTGAGAACTCCTGATCTAGAGAAATAAAGCATCGATGGTAAAACCTTGAAAATAACTTTGGTAATGAAGAGATAAAACATAGTATGACAACTTGTCAAGCAATTTGTTAGTGCTTAGCGCATGTGATGGGGACGCCCTTTAGTGACTACCACACCAAATTTTAGCTCAAAATCTGTAAAATTGAAAGGGTTATAGCAATTTTAGTGTTTACTAAGGT